CTACCTCCTCGTATCACCCATCATCCCCACACTGTGATGTATTTCCCCTAATCTAACTCAATCTTCCAACTGAACTTGATCTTTCAAGCTCTTCCACTGTGACTTCTGTGCTCAACATCTGTCATCAACCTTATATGCCCAGCCTCTTCTCTGATGTTCCTTTCCTAGGCCTTACTGAAACCTGGCTGTCTTGGAGGACACGCCTCCCCAGCAGCCCTCTTAATAAAGGCTTATTTTTGGTCTTATTTCATATACCTTGTAGTCTGGAGCTGGAGGATTGCTCCTCAATACTACTTCTAGACCATTATTCTTCCTTCATCCTTCAAAGTCGTTTGCTCCGTTGACATTCATTCTGGAAGTGTAGCCCCCACTTTCTCTAATTGTTGCTGGGCTTTTCCAGCCTGGTCCTTCCCCCACATTCACTGACAAGTTTAGCGCCTGGCTCATCATCTTCCTCTTTACACCTATGGTCTTATCATCATTGCTGTTGAGTTAAAAAACCATCAGGGTGCTTCAGCTAATTGCAGCCTCTCAGCCCTGAGTCTCTCATCTCCAATGATCGTTCTCTTCAGCATCCTCAGGCCCCCACCCTAGGCGTTGTCAGCTCCCAAAACACCCTCTTCCAACATACTGAATTCAAGCCTCCCATCTCTGATGATCACCTCCTTCCTTCCCAGCTCATTTACTCATGTATCCCCACTCCTTTCACTTCCTGGAGACTTCAAAACCATTGACTCCATCAGTTTTTCACTGTCTACTCATCTCTTTTTACATGTACTCTCCTTCTCACCCATTTTCTATCCCTGATCTGGCACATAATCACTCTCATGCAAATATCTTAAAAGCCCTTCTCTCTCTTTTTAGTTAAACTCCCACCCTGGTTAATTCCAACCATCCATCTAGTTGCTCCTTGCACCCAACTCTTTAATGGAAGGTTACTAGAGCAAAAAATCCACAGTGATGCTGACTGGTCACATCTGAAATCAGAGGTTTTTTTGTTGTGTGTGTTTGCTTGTTAACTAGGACCAATTTTGCCTGTCCTCTCACTGGGATGTTTGGCAATGTCTGGAGACATTTTTGTTTTGTTTGAGGGGGGGTAATTAGGTTTATTTATTTATTTATTTTTAATGGAGATACTGGGGATTGAATCCAGGACCTCATGCATGCTAAGCATGTGCTCTGCCACTGAGCTATACCCTCCCCTCGGAGGCATTTTTGATTGTCACATTGTGTGGGGGAGTTCTACTGGCATGAACTCAGTAGAAGTTAGGGATGTTTCAAATATCCTGTGATGCACGGGACAGTCACCCATAACAAAGAATCATCTGGCCCCAAGGACCAGTAGTGCTGAGGTTGAAATCCTGCTCTAAATTAATACAAGTCTCAAAGGGACAATCGACACAGGGTCTTAGCATTTACTGTTCCCTCTGCCTATAACATGGTTCTCTCATGGCTGGCTCATTATTTAACAGTTCCTTCCTAGAAAGGTCTCCCTGACCTCACTCTGAAGTGGACCCAAACTCAACACATTACCCTGTTTTATTGCCTTCAAATATGCACCATTTTTTTTTGTGTCTTTATTATCTTCTTCCTCCCTTTAGAGTCTAGAGTTTGTGTCTTTATTATCTTCTTCCTCCCTTTAGAGTCTAGAGTTTGTGTCTTTATTACCTTCTTCCTCCCTTTAGAGTTACACGAGTGCAGCATTCTTACTGTCTTGTGTACAGCCCCAGTATCAAGCATGGTGCCTAGTACATTACATAAGCACTCAGAAAATTATTGAACAAGTGGATGAAAATTTGGTTAATTTGCAATTCATTCATTTATCAAATATGTATCAGTGCTGAGACCCAACACATTGCTGCTGTCTTGGAACTTACAGTACAGTGGGGAGATTGACAATGCATCAGTAACCACGCGAAGTAAATAGTTTCAAACTATGATAAGAGCTTTGGAAATAAAGTACAGGTAGTGGCGCGAGCATTCAGCAGGTGATCTGACTCAGTGTGGGGTGCGGTGGTCAGGCCAGGCTTCCTAGATGTGATATTGGAGCTGACAGCTGGAGGATGAGTCAGTTAGCTGGGTAGAGGAAGGTTGGGTGGGGGAGTTGATGGAGAAGAGCACCCAGGCATGAAGAACAGAGAACAGGGTGCAAAGGCACTTTTGTTGGGAAGGAGCGTTGTAAAGTTCAGGTGGTGCGGTTGATGCCCAGAGTCTGGTAAGCCATAGTATGGCATTTATTTGCTAAATCCAGCAGAGTAATAGGAGCAAAAGAGTGCCATTGGATGATTTGAAGGATTTTAAGTAGGAAGTGACACTATCTAAGTTTATTGGGGAACAAACAGTCATTTCTGAAGGACAAACAGGGAAGCGGGGAGATTGGTTTGGAGGCAGTTGCAGCACCCAGGGAAGAGGTGATGGCGACTTGGCCTGAAGTGATCTCAGTGAGCTTGGAGAGAAGCTGGATATACTTAAGTAATTAGAAGCATGGAATCTCAGAGCTGGAAGCACTTTTTTAAAAAGTAGAAAAATTAAAATGAATAATAGAGCTCACTAAAATCTGTGTTTTATAGAAAAGTAGGTTAATTAGCTTAGCACGAAGGGCCTGTTCATATTTTTATTGTATAAAAGAAGGAAAGATTTACAGAAAAATGTCTGAGTGGGAGGAGCAAAGATGAGAAATACGAAGAGAGCTGAGGTGAAAAAAGGAGAGAGAGAAATTAAACGAGGGAGGGAAACAGTAAGAACGGTGTGTGAGCCTGTGAGCCTGAGAGGTGTCAGGAGGTTGGAGGAGAGGTAGATTGGGAGGAAACTGGATAAGAAGGGGGTGGCTGTGATGTGCACACAGGAAGATGCAAAGAAAGACTACTTGGTGATGCTGAGCTCAAGGGGCTGGGAGATAGGGTCCAGAAGAGTGTCCAGAGGTAGACTAAAAGAGAGGGAAATGAAATAAACGGAAAAGACAGGAAGGGGAAATGGTAACAGATGAGGGGGGAATGAGTCAACAGGGGATGCTTGGAGGAGATGTCGGGAGGAAGGATGGGGTCATAGCTTGAGGAGAGCGAGAGAGATGAGACCGGAGGATGAGGTGGGAATCCCAGGGCTGAATTAAAGGCCACATTAGAGCCAGATGTTCCAGAGGACAGAGCGGTGAGATGGTGGGAGAGCGCACACAAAGAGGCAGGTCCAGGCTTAGAATGAAGGAGAGAAATGTGTGCATGGCTGGAGGAGGAGGAAGAGGGAAAGGTGGAGGACAGGTCTGGAAAGACTCCAATGGAGGGAAATGATGGGTGTGGCTAAGACTCTGACCCAGGCCTTAATCTGCTCCCCACCCTCTGGCGACGGCTTCCGACCTCATTGGGTTCTTCTGCTACAAGGACTCGGGGCGGGATGGGATAGCGACCACTGGGAGGTGGGGTGCCAACGGCCCCGACATTAAGTCATGTCAAGCAGGGATCAGAATAGGGGGCCAAGAAGACGGGGAGAGGGGCGGGTTGGGAGCACCACGCCTGGAAGCCGGGTGTTTGCTGGAGCGCAGGGTAGGAGGGAGACGGACAGCGGCGAGGCGTGGGTTGGTGCTGGGGCAGTGGCGCTGGCAGTGGGGACCCCAACAATGCTGCTGAAGTGGGACTGGACCCAGGGCTTCTGAAGGTGGGACGGCTAGGAGAGGAGACTGAAAAGAAAAAGAGTAGAGCAGAGGGTGGGGGCGAAAGTATAGTGGGACAAAGGGCACCCAAGGGGAAACCGAGAGTCCCTGCTGAGGGCGGGGTGGGGGGAAAGGCGGGGCCAAGACTGGCCAGGGGCATCCTCCCCCTCCCC